AAGAATTTGGATTTGACATAAAAACAACTCAATTAGACAAATTATTATTGGGACCAGAACAAAAAATAATATCAAAATTATATAATTATTTACTAAATTTTGATCTAGAGGAGGAAATTGTAAAAGGACCAATGCTAGCTTGGGCAAAAAAAATTGGACTCAGTATAGAACTGGATGACTGGGAAGAAGTATGGCAAAAACCTCTCTATAACAAAGTCAGTCACCTACAAAGAAAATTTATATAAAATGCTTTATAGATGGCATCTAGTACCTTCCAGACTTGCAAAAATGTACCCCAAACTAAGCCCAAATTGTTGGAAATGCAAAAGAACACAAGGTACCTTTTCCCATGTCTGGTGGTTTTGCCCAGAAATCAAAAAATACTGGATAAAGATAAAAATGTGGATGGAGGAAATCACACATTGCAGGTTGGAGTGGAAGCCAGAATTGTTTCTCCTGGGAATCATCAAAGAAAAGTATTCCCCCAAAATTAGATATTTGATTATACATATATTAATGGCGGCATGAATTGCATTGGCGCAGGCTTGGAAAATGCCCACCACACCATCTAATAACGTTATAATCCACAAAATCTTAGAATGTGCGGAGATGGATAGGCGCACGCTGAAATTAAGGGTAAAGGAGGACTCAGAATATTATTTAATTTGGAACATTTTGTATCAATGGTTAAACAGTAAGGTACAATAAAAAGGTCAAAAAAAGAATTTAAAAAGGAAGTAACAAGGGAAATAAAACTGGAATATGAATAAACAGACAGAACGAGGAGAAGTAGTAGAACCTGAGGAACTGCTAGGGGAAAATAAGAACTAGATAGACATTTAGACTAGGATTTATAATCATTTAGATTTATTGTAGACATGTGTAGTAATAAGTAAGGGATGATAAAAATGTGACTCCTCTTTCCCACTATATCTGTGGAATACTAAGCCACAGCATATAGACTATAAATACCCCTGATGTTTCCTTTAGCTATGAATGTGTATATTAAATGTTAATTTGATATTCCCCCCTTTTTTTGTATATGTGAATCAGCATGGTTAGGGAAAGTAACCATGAGATAAATGGTCTGGAAGGGGGAAAAAACTTAGGAAGAATGATTGAGATGGTGAGTACATTTGGTTTGGCAAAGAGGAAACTGCTAAAGTGCCAGAAAATCTATCATATGGACAAATGGAGCAAACTTGTTCAGAATTCTCCCAGAAGACATGGAAAGAATGTTCTAAGTAACAAAAAAGTTAATTTTGGTTGAACATCAGGAAAATTACCCTAATGGTAAAACTTTATGGAACATACTGTTTTGAGAGAAGTTGCTCTGGGCAAGGGATTGAAATAAATAATATCTAAGGTAACTTAGATTTTATGAGATTTTTTAATGAGATTCTTTTCCCCATTTTAATGAGATACTACTTTTATTGTTTTTAAAAAGATGTTTTTAAAACTGTTAGCTTTATTATTTATTCAAAATTAATGTAGTAGTAACAAACACCAAGAATAATAAAACAAAACAAGAAGAAAGGATAAGAAATGGTTCCATTCCACTTAATCATTTAATTCAATTAGCCTTATTATTTCAAAACTATGTTCAAGCACGTCCTATAACTATTTAAGACAATTAAATAAATCAAAGTAATAAAAAGATGATTATATTTTTGTATTCCTTTGTGAACAATGTTCATTAGAAAGAAATTTCATAAACATAGCTCAGTGATGCAATTATACATGCTTTTTATTCTAATACAGATTGGCTTTCCATTATTCTAAAATCTCAAATACCAATCTTGTACATCAGATCCAATTTGGTATTTCCAAAATTTGCAATTCCTTGTCAAGCAGCAACCATGAAATATCATGCTAAAGGTTTATGCTTTGCATATTCATTTAGCAATTAATACAGATTTAATAATTAAAGGATCTAGCCATTTATACTTGCATAATTACTTCAGCTTCTTTAAAGATACATTTCCTGAAATTTATCTCTTATCACTAGTGGTAGTTGATGCCATTTACTCAGTATCCTCTCCATCATGTTCAGGAAATAGTTTTGTTAACAACTGAGATCTGTAAATACGTATTGTGCTACATATGGAAAGCTTTTTAATATGCACTGAAAGAAATTAGGAAATGATTGGATAGAAATGGTATTTTATGATCTGATAGATGTGGTATTTTACTTGCTTTCTATAGTGTATTTCTTTCTTTCCAAAATAATTCTTCCATAGTTTTGAAACACTCATAATTCCATTATTTCCATTATATATTTTATATTTTCATGGAAAGTTCTTTTGCTGCTCTGCATTTCTAAATTGGGGTAAACATTCAAATACTATAGCTATTGATGCTCAGGTAGTCTATATTTGTTTTTATGGTTGTTTTTTTCAATCTGGATTTTATATATATTTTATATTGCTTGTTTTTATATTTGTTGTTTGATTGTGATATGTAACCCAGAGTTACATTTTGTAAGATGGGTGACTATACAAATATAATAAATAAATAAGTTGAAAGTAGCCTTAGTTCCTGCCCCATCCATGCTCTATTTCATCTCAAACATCAGATTCTGCTTTCTATCAGATCACGATAACGTTATGTAATTATTTGATAACTGCACACATCTGGACATAAGACTCTAGATAACTACATAGGGATAACAAAGGGCTTCCTGTATCTCTTTGCTATCATCTAGAATATTGCAGGTCAATTATAATAAGCTAGCTCAACTATTTGAATGTAGTTAGATGGAGGGAGGGATTTATATATGTATTCCAAATTTATTTTTTACACACATTACACAATTGCATACAATATATGTAAACAAGCAGAAATGTCTTCTGATTTATCCATAAATTATAATATCTTCCCATTACACCTATTATATAATCAAATTCATAACAATGATCCCATATAGGACAGGAATATTTTTTTTACTACTTACCTCTCTGTCCTCCAAAAAAGTAGTCAATGAACAGTGAGATTCCAAAACAGATAAAACAGATAGATACACATACATCTAGATCTATGGTCTTTAAATTTATCTGAGATTATTGCAGATAGCTAGGGATGTTGTTTTATTTTGAAATATTCATTACTATTTTATTTCATTTGCATCTTCCAGTAAAGAAGTTAAGTATGGTTCTGCAGTCTAACAATTACAATTTTGCTTGGAAGTGTTAATGTGGGTATGATACTGCATATGTGCACCAAACTGAAGTGGAAGGAATGGGTAGGAACTGCTTCAAAAATGATGAAGTCATTTGAATTTTTTATCTGCTGTTTAGATGGTCTGCTATACTTTGCATATTCCAAAGAAGGTGAAGCAGCACACCAGGTCAGTTTTAAATTCAGCCTTAGTAATACAGAATTCATAATGTAAATAAACTCCAGTGGAGCAAGGATGAATACTTTTCCCACTTGAGAAGAAACAGAGAGCAAAACTCCTAGGGGAGAAAAGCCAAAACAGCCCCCATATACTAGGGGATACCTTTGACTAGCTTTGTTGATTGAGCCCTTGGTTAGATTTATAATGTCAGACCCATTAAACGTGCTTCTGCCAAGGAAGTGTCATAGCGCCTGAGAACCTAGGACATTTTACAGTAGAACTAAAGGGGCGGTGAAAACATACTTGTGAAAAGAAGAATTATTCAGCAACTGTAAAACTAAAAAAAAAAAAAAGCATGTCCATGGAGATCAGATGAACTTTGCTACTTTGGAAGAAGTTTGCAAGCACTGGTTGCTTTTTGATGAAATACAGAATGTAGGAAATGTATTATCTTGTTAAATTGAATTGTGGTATACTACTCTAATCCCAATTAAAAGACAGCTTCATAAACAATGAACAACAATAATTTTACATTCAGAAATAAGGTTTTTCATCTGTCAGAGCTAGAAAGAATTCTGGCAATTACACTGTATATAAAGAGATAAGTTTCTTCTGTTTAAAGTATCATAAATGAAAAATATTAATTGACAAGTGTAGATTTATATAATTAAAATTGGGTGTCTAATAAGATCATAGTAAAAACTGGTGCTGCGGTTCTGGAATTTAGAATTGGTTCTAGTCTGGACTATTATGCAGTGTTTTATTCCATAGGGATCCCAAATTACCATTCAGATGCATCGGGTAATACCGGCAGCAACAAACAGCCCAGATCATTAATTCCCATTGTGATCTACCCATCTAATCAGTGGATTGAAGATCTGATTATGCTTGCTACTTATGAGTAGATTGCCTATAGACATAGAATTTATATGGACAAGTATAATAAAATATGGGACTCATTTATGCAAAATATAGCAGGTTAAAAAAGTATGAGAATTATATAAATGCATTAGAAATAATGTACACACAATCTTGTATGTTTGCATTAATTAAATATAGAATTGTAAATATTTACTTTTGTAATGACGTATTAGACTCTATATTTTAATTTTTGTTGCATTTTTTCACTTATATTAAGCACTTGCTATGCAGTTTTCATAATGTATCTTAGTGCTTTGTTCCTTTTGTTTTTTATTTTTCCATAATTATTTTAAAACCAACATTTATATTTAAAAAATCATATTTTACCTATCCTCATCTAAATGCATTTTGATTCACCAATGTGGAAAATGCTTGACTTTAGCAGTAAAACAAATATATTAAAAATATATGTGGGACATGGGTACAGTAAAAACTTTCCCCCCATATTGTAAATACTTTCTCATTATTTTCTGCTCAAATAGTGTTTATTCTGAAGTAATTCACATGGCAGTCCAAGGGAGGTTCTATTAAAATCTAAGATATAAAGTCTGTCCTCACCATTTTTTGTGGCTATAGTCCTACTAGACTCAAGGCACAGATGACCAGACTCTCTAATGGTGGGAAAGGTAGAACTAAAGAGAAGAAAAGAAACCCCTAGCATCAAGATGAATGAAATCCATGGTATAACACTGGAAGATCTAAAGGGCCAGATTGGGACGGATTGCCATGCAAAAAAATCTATCTATGTCAGTGGTTCTCAACCTTCCTAATGCTGTGACCCTTTAATACAGTTCCTCATGTTGTGGTGACCCCCAACCATAAAATTATGGCTTGGTTCCTAAGACCATCGAAAATATATGTTATGTGATCACTAAGAGCCAACAATGACATGGCACATTATCAATTGTGTTACCAATATTAGGGAGAAAGCAAGCATATAAAAGCCAAATCTAAAGTAGCAGGCACATTGTTATGCCAGTTTCAGATGGAAGAGGTAGTACATTGTTATATGAAAGGTAAATCCAAAATCTTTTATATTGTCAGTGAGCATAGGAATATTATCCAGAAGACCAATCCACTCATATGTTCTTGACATCATAATGATTTTTATGGAGACATGTCCTAAGGTTTGCTGGGATAACAATCCCTAAACGTCCCAAACCAGCATTTTTAGAATTTAGTCTTGAACACTAAATTTATATAATCTTCCTATGTTACATTCCTATGTAATGTTTGTGTTTTATAATTCAAATGCAGTTCTGTTGCTTGCAATTCTCTGAAATCCTGGGTAGGAGACTTCATGGTGAAACAAAAAGCTAACTGGATACTAATAGAGATGTCAATGAGCTGCTTCTTTCTGAGAAAAAGGTGGTGCATTTGAGCTCTAGACTCCAAGGCAGATGTGAATTTGAGTTAAGCAACAAGGTTTTATATGATATACAGAGCAATATATGATTTGTCTAGGAAGACAGAGTAAATGCTATTCAGTAAAAGCAGCTAAGCATAAATCAGATGATCAATTATACCACTGATCTTTAGAAACAGGACCTATTAACTGTACTTAAATACTTCCAGATTCAGTCAGACTTCATTTAAAACTACTCTACAGTAATTTACTCTGGGGACCATTAGCTATAAAATTGCTTTCTAATTCACATTATTCTGACTTCCAAGTATCTTAAAGATACAACCTTCAATATTTTTTGCTTTAAAACATATTAGAATATAATAACCATATAGAAAGGTAGAGGGAGAGATGATTTAAAGGTAAAATTATACTAGATGAAGAAATACAAATACAGGGGGGAAAGTTCAGTGTTATCCTGAAATAAAATTCCAAAACTTAATTAAGATTGAGTATATTTGTATTATTGCCTTAATATTTTTTGCCTCTCAGAAAATAACCTTTTAAGCAAAACAAAGTCCCACTTTTTCCTGTTTAGGTGGTTCATTTGTTTTCAGTTTTATGCAATATTTTTAAATATTTTTAAACCAAATAAAACAATTAAATGAGTGCTATAAATTTAGATGTACTTGTAACAGATAACCTTAATATTGAATATTAAATAACAAACCTATCCAGAACAATTTAGCATATCCCACAGCCAGAAAATATAGGATTAAAATAAGGTGTAAGATTAGTACATTAAAAACTGCTTGTGTCTCTTTTACCATATAGAACCATACACAGGTACTGCATTTGAATAGACACTACTGAGAGCACCATTGTGGTTTCCCTATGCTGACTATAAGTACCATTTTACCTCACTTTACGCCACTTACTGGTGGCCAAGATTCTGCATTGAATATATTTTCTAATTTTCTTGCATTCATTGACGAGAAATATTAGGATAAAAGATGCTACATGAATCATACCATTAAATTCATGCTTGCATATTGTATACCATCTTGCCTTTTTGATGCCAGAAACAAGTACTCTTCCTTATCTGTCAGCTTATCTAAATGGATTTTCCTCAATAGATATGATTAGTCTATTGGGCTGGCCTTTGGAGGGTAAAATCTGCCAGACAGTAGGCCCCACATTACTGCAGAGAGTTAGGAAAATGACCTTGAAGGAGATATATGGGCTCTGTTATCTAAGCAACAGGGGATAAAGTATTTTTAAGTCCAGAACAAACAGATAAAATGTAGAAGACCATCCCAAATTCATCTAAATATAAGAAGAAGGTGGAAGAATAGCACAATCAGACTTGTAAACTTCTGTATTATAGTGAATCTAAAAAAAACCAAGTAGCTGTAAATGCCCTCTGGAGTTAATTTCATAATCTGATCTATTAGTGGAGTTGACAGTCACAATCCAAGCACTGTCCCTTTGGGACCACATTTAACATCAAATACACATAGAACAAGAAGAAGGATTGTATCATACTCCTATGTATACCATCTTGCCAATTTGGCCCCAATCTTCCTCAGGGGCTCATGCAAGCACATTAAATTTTCCTTAACTAAAACACCTCTTTTAAAAGATTGACTGCCATGAAATACTCTCTGTCTATTCATGAAACAACTGAAGGTTCATTTTAAAATTTATATTTACCTTTCTTCAAAAATAATAAAATAAAATAAAAAGAATAAAACCAGTAGTATAAATCAAATTCATTATACATTAAAACTAATACAACTAAATAACAAATCTGGTAAAAATAACATTTAAAAGCTTTATAACATTTTTGAAATGAAATTTTGGTGTCTGGTCACTGGAGTTGAGTAAACATTCCAATGTAGCTATGGCTAGAGAAGCTTATAAAACTTGAATTTTAAATGAATGAAGATTTGATGAATGAAAATGTAAGTGTCCCAGGATAATGTTGCAGGATCCAATCCAAGTGTATATGAACTTCTCAGACAAATTCCCTGAGGATGGGTTCTGGAAAGAGTCTGAAAGCTCAAAAGACTAAACACTTCTGACTCCAGTGACTGACCCAGATTGGATCCAGAATATTTGAAGTTCAATTAATTCTTTCCAATACATATTCATTTCTTTCCCTCTCTTCTTCTTTTTAAATATTTTTTCATTCCTTGGTATCTAAAATTATAACATGTGATAGACATTTGTACTAGTGAAGTCTATAGCCCATCTGAAAATAATTTATATACTTTTTTCAAATACTTTCTGAGTACCGTGTTTCTCAAAAAATAAGGCTGGGCCTTATTTTTATTTGGGGCCCCCAAAAATGGCTAGGCCATCTTTACGGGGGTGACTTAATTTCCTCCCCCACCCATACGCACGTACCTCTCCACGAGGCCGTTTCTATTGGCCGACAAAAGCTCCCCGAAGGCAGAGTCCCCAGCCACTTCGGGGCGAGGCATGGCTACCTGTGTCCCCTCGCCATTAGGCAGTGTCTTTGAGGCGATGGAAGCTCCCCAAGGGCAGTCACCAGCCACTTCAATCGGCCGGTAGAAGCGCCCTCGGGGAGAGCGCACACACACACAAACTCCCCTCGCCGGCTGATTGAAGTGGCTGGTGACTGCCCTTGGGGAGCTTTCATCACCCGAAGGACACTGCCTAATGGCAAGGGGACACAGGCAGCCATGCCTCACCCTGAAGCGGTTGGGAACTCTGCCTTCAGGGAGCTTCTATCGGCTGATGTTCTATCGTTATATCGGGGTATTCTAGCCTAGGCTACCTGCAGGGCACTCCTAAAGGCAAGTTTTCTCCCCACCCCCACACCCTTCCCCCCCATTTCTTTTCACCTCGTGTAGTTCTAACGAACAATGTGAGAAATGGCGGGGAAACGCATGGATTAAATAGGCCTAAATTTTAGGGGGGGGGGCTAATTTCACCTCATGCCAAGAAATCATGCTGGGCCTTCCTATTGGTGGAGGCCGTATTGTTGGAGAAACACGGTATATATTTCTTGAACAATAATGATTTTATTAAGTAGCTGAAACAGATATTTTTAAGTCAAAGGCAACACCTTTTTATCACTGTCTTTGGAGAAGAATACTGCTAAAGCAGTGGTTTTATAACTGAATATGCAAAGTAAATGACACAAGCATTAGTTAAAATTAGAAGAGAAACTTGTTACATTATGCATATCTTAAGCAATAAGCACTGTTAAATATGAGCTTAACAAATTACTGCATATATATTACATTTTACAAAACTGTGATATTTGGAAAACAGAGAAAAATCTAGTGACATTTACACTTCAATAAATTAAGCAGCATATTCTTGTGCTTGTGATATTCAGTGCATGGAATATTGCATACAGATGAAGGTTGTGCATAACTTCAAAGGAGTGCTTTGCTTCAATAATGCATTGAGCAAAGCTTTCTTCCAAGCTGTTACAGGAAGCAAAGTGGTTTCTTGCTTTTAAAAGCAAAGCAAAATGGACACATGGCTCGGCTTTATCCCAATCCTGAAACCTTACCAAGAGCTCTGATATCTGGAAGAGGCAATCAGAGGTCTCTTCTAATTATTGGAATTGCTACTCAAAGCTTTATATGGTTTCCAAGATATCTCAATAATTGTGTGAAAGAAAGAGATGAAGGATGCAATTCTGCCTAAGAAAACAAGGCACACATTTTTTCTAACAAAGAAACAGCTACTGGTTATTTATTTATTTGTTTATTTGTTTGTTTGTTTAAACAAATCCATTTGGCTGCCCATTTAACCAGTGGAATTCTGGATGGTGAACAATAATAAAAAATATAGTACACACAGCCAGAGCTCCATTTTTCCCAACCTTGGGGGCAAAAAAAAACACAGGTCTTTACAGCATTCAGGAAGGTCACCCATATTTATGGGAGCATGAAGTTTGTCATGGCCCAGCATATAACTTGTATATACTGTTGTTGCTCTCTAGCTCCGTCGAGTGGCTGGAGAGACAAATACCAAGTATATTGTTTGAAGCTGACTCCACCCCATTATCCACGCTCTCAAAACAAGTGCACGCTGGGAAGCCAGACTCCATTTGCTTTAGCATTTGGAGAAGGCCGAAGAACAAAGAAGAATCCATCTTAATCTCTGGCACATGGTCACCCAAGGACAAACCCACATCCCACACACGGAGCATTGCTGGTGAGATTTAAATTGCTTGTGTATAATAATAGTTATGTTCAGCAGTAACTCAGTACTGTCTATCTTGTATTTGGTTCTCATTGTATGTATCCCTATTTTCCCCAGTTTCACCATATCCTGTTCTTTCAATAAAGCATTCAGATTTATGCACATGGTCTGTTTTATTGGAGGATAAGTGGGTTTATCTGCATGTCAAGCTGCACACAGACTAACATGTAGTGAGGACAGAATAATGTTCTATAAGGCAAGTGCCAAAACAGAAAAGTCACTCTTATCATTCTTTGAACATTTTATCACTCCATCGCTGCATTCATAAGGACAGAAAAATAGAAGGGACTGTTGAGGAAAGAAAACATAGGATTTGGTACACAGATAGCATGGCATCAAATAGCATTGACAGTATAGTTCTAGGCTTGTGATTATTGGTGTCAGGTGCTTTGGAAAGGGTCTATGAGTTAATAGGTTACCTGTCTTAAGGGCTGAAGATCCAGTCTTGAAGTGTTAATGTTATACTGGATTAATGCAGTTGTTAGAAGAAAAATATATAAAGTCAGCAGGAAAAAAATATGAATAAGCAATTTGGTCAGGTACATATATTTCCTACACTCTCCCATACTAAATAATTCAATTAGTAGGTGAAAACTGGTCATCATATATGTTCTGTTCTTTTTGGACAACTTGCACTATGCCCTCACTACAGTAGGGACCTAGAGGGAAATCACTGCCTCAGATTCTATAAATGGTCTCTATACATGCAGGAAAGGATTGCCCAACCTGGGGCAGTAGATTGCTCTTAGAGAAGCCCCGCTTTCTTTCCAATCACTACAAGAAAAGTCAGCCTCTTTTTTCATGAAAGAGGAAAGAACTGTTTGATAAAAGAAGAAACTGATTCTCCTCTTTGAAGGTCTGATCTATTAATGATGGAATAAGAGCTCCTTGGAGGATTCAGAACCTCCTTCCAGGTATAATATACTGCAACCTTTGGGAAGTATCTCAGAGGCCCTCCAGCTGATAGTTAAAAGTAGTTCCCAGTATGCAATGAAGAATCAGAGCTGCCCTGATGCTATAATAATGGTTCCTCAAGGATTGATAGCAGTAGAATTCATTTCCGGAATCAAAGTTGAGTCTTGGCATAACTTTGAATATGTTATTTTTGGAGCAAGAAACAAAAAATGAACAAGAAAACTCCTCAGCCCCTGTCCTCTTATTGCTGTAATTTACAATACTAAAAGAATTATGATGAATCAGGGAATCATTAACGGGAGGGGAGCGGGGGGGGGGGGGAGAATTCACCTGAACAAACACTGATGAAAGCATAACATTAATTGCTTCCTCTGGGACTGCAATAATATAGTGCACCTAATAATCTGGAGGCATCTTGACAGTTTTTCTCTCCAATATCTCACTTCAGATTACTGCCAAGGAAATACATAACATCATCCTTGCTTCCTAAGCAGTATTTTATTACCTCCTACGTTTCTGCAAACAATGAAACTGTAAAAGGTAGTTGTAGGATTTATGCAATTTCATTCTGCTAATGGTTTGTGAGTGGTGAAACATAATTATTCACTTAAAAGAGATGTTATTGGTCATGAGTATGAAGCATGAAAGGAAAAACCTGCAAAAGATTACTGATACACAGGAGAGAGCATAAAGCATTATTTGGCGGGGAGGGTTCCCGTCATCTTGGAACCACAAGAGATGTGGTCAATCACAACACGATCACCGGAGTGGGCAAGGTCAACATTTTTCACCCTTTTAAATGTTTTGGGGACCTGTTTCTCAGTAGCAAATGCCTATTATGCAGCAACCGTAAACTTAATAACATGTCTTTGACATAAGCACTCAAAAAACAAGATATATATTAAAGATAACTTGAGTGCATTTGGTGTAAGGTATTCATGTTTCAAAAATAAACAGCAAGATAGCTTTCACTGGCACAAGAGGGAACTTTCAAATTTAAGTAGCATTTATCCATCTCCTTTATTCAGTAGGACACACAAACAGCAGTATGAACTAACATCCCTTATCTCTCTCTATAAAAGCGAAATACTACTCACACATCATCATACTAGTTGGCAGAGGCAGAATTTCCCCCCCTTATTTTCCTCCCCCCCCCCAAAAAAAATAGGCCTGACCACATAGTTTTGTAGTGAAGCATGAGTATCAAGCTAGTTGCCCAATAAAGCATGACCCCTTCAAACAAATTGTAAAAGCTTATCACAAATAGTTAAGTGCATTTTCTAAAATTCCCAGCCCTATATCAGTCAACATTATTATTTATCTAGCACTACCTAGGCTTTTTGAAAGAAGTTGGTGGTTGTGCCCCATTCTGCTCTATGTTGCCTATGAATTGGAACAACCTCTCTAGAAATTAAACTGACCTTTTTGGCAATGGTGTTCTGGAAACTAGAGAAGCCTGTATTTTTCTGGAGGGCTGAGGATGTGATTGTGTGCCATCATTATTGCTGATAGAACCTGTGCTATGAAGCCTCAAATGAAGACAGATGTCAATAAAATCTGAGAGAAAACCATGAGTGCTATCACAGAATAATACCCACAGTTATTATAACAATGGACTTCCAGTGCTCCCATTGTGCTAGACTCTATGCTCCCAGTTTGGGACTGCACAACAGCATCTCTTCTTTGAACCTGAAAGACTAGCATATATTACGTTTTAACAATGTTATAAAAAACCCCAATGTTATAGACTATTGCACACCAAAACAACTTGACACAAGGACAGTTTTTTCCTGCATGCCATCACTCTGCTAAACAATTAATTCCCACAACACTGTCGACTATTTATTAAGACTGTATTACTATTATTCTTCTCATCCTTCTTATTACTTATCTCCTTCTACTTATCGCTATAACCTTGTTGCTTGTACCTTTAGAATTATATTGTTTCATTTAGTTTCCTAGTATGATTTTGATTGCTTATTTAGTATCCTATGACTAAGTGTTGTATCTAATGATTCTTGATGAATGTATTTTTATGTATGCTGAGAGCTTATGCATCAAAGACAAATTCCTTGGGTGTCCAATCACACTTGGTCAATAAAAAATTCTATTCTATACTATTCTATTCTATATTATGTTTTTTATCCCTTAATGTTATTGTTAATGTGGGGTTTTGATTGTGGGTTTTGATTCAATGATTCAGTTTGGGATATTTATATTATTAGGGTTGTTGACATTTATTTTTCTTGGCATAGCTGTTTCATTGTAATCATAATTTTAGCAGTGAAATGATAGAAAAATAGAAAACAAGAAGAATGGTCATCAGGAATCATCAGAAATTGTAGGGTTATGTTTACAGATTTACAGATAATCAGAGTTGGAAGGGACCTTGTAGGTCATCTAGTCCAACCCCTCACCCAAGCAGGAGACCCTACACCATTTCTGACAAATGGCAGTCCAATCTCTTCTTGAAAGTCTCAACTGTTCCTAGCCTCTGCCTTGTTAGCTTCCCTTCTCTGTTGTGTTCCTTTTTTCTTTTGTTTTCTAGCATTATATTGATTTTGCATCTTATTTTTCTCTTTCTTGGGTGTTTTTTTAAATCTTAAGTCCTTAATTTTCCTTCCTCTCTTTCTCCTCTCTTTCTTAATTAAATTTTGAGATTCATCAAAGATGGCTTCTTCTTCTTCTTCTTCTTCTTCTTCTATTGCTGCCTCCATCTGTTGTTGTGTTTGTTGATAAATAGCAAGCGCCATTTCTAAAAAGAGAAAAGCTTCCTTTACAGCGTCCTTGCCCTCTCTTTTTGTTTGTTCATATTCTTTTCTCAGTTCCTCAACGGAAAAAGCCATTATAAATCTTTTCTTTTCTTTTTTTCCCCTCTTTCTTCTTACAACAACCAAGATGTTTCAAAAGTTAGAACAGTCCCAAAATCCCAAAGTCACCACTCAGTCCAAGCCAAAACAAAGTTCTCACTTTCTCTTCCTGGGGTAATATCAATCAAAAAAACGACCAAATCTGTATTTTAAAGCCTTATTGCAATAAATTTCAGTCTTCAAATCCTTAAGGCATCTCCTCCAACAAGATCTTAACATATATATATATATACATATACATATACATATACATATACATATACATATACATATATATATATATATATATATATATATTGTCCTCTCCCTTCCCACTTATCACAGAAAGCAAGTTTTAACTTTCTATAAAAAGACAAGTTTCTCAATATCCATTTGTTGATTCCATAGGGAAGGAGAGTAAACTTTCCTTTCAGCACCTCAAAATTGCCGCTTATAGTTCTCTTCTGGAAAGTATCATTCAGAAAGCCATAATTTTCAGAATGTTAAATATGTCTTAAAGTGCTGGGTCAGCCAAGAAAAACTTTCACTTAAAAAAAAACTTTCTCCTCTTCCTCCTGCACATTCTTACCCAGCTGCCGGCTTCTTTGTGGCGGCCATTACGGACCGCCGCTGCACCGTCTTGAGAAAAGGGGGTTTTGCCGGCTGGGGAGGGGGTCTGCAACACCCCCAAACCCCTCTCCGGATCCCCCCTGTCTTCAGCCACCCCTGCAGGGCAGCCTTAGCCTCCAAACCCATCTGGATCGGAGGCACCAAAACGGCTAGTGCCGCAGGGATCGCGCAGTATCGCGAATCCCTGCCGCTAGCGAAGCCGACAAACCGGAAGTCTTTCAGGGGGGTAGAAAGGCCTGGTGGGAGAAGAAAGAAAGGGAAAAGGTGGAGAAAAGCCACAAAGTTTTGAAACCAGATGGGAAAAGAGGAATTTTTTTAAGGGACAAAGGGTAATGTATAATTTGTTTAAAAAAAAAAGATTCTGCAAGGTACATAAGATGGTACTGTAGCATTTGTATTAGAAATAGAAAATTAGAATGGTTTAAGAGTTAATAAGAGATTAAAATATTGAAATGTTTAGTAATGTATTTAATCATTTTGGATTTATTATTTTTCTTTTTTAAAAATTAGTAGATAGAATGTACCAAGCAGAATCAGATTGGGTATTAGGTGTTATTTTAAATGTTAATTTAGGGGGATGATAGAAAGGCATCATACCCTGATTAGTGATTTCAGGAGAAACTCTTTTTTCTTTTTACTATAGGGAATGAGACAAATGGATAATAAAGAATGGATAAAGGATACAAATATAATGACTTAAATTAAAATGAATTAAATAAGATAGAATTAAGAAGAGTGAAATGTGTGGAGAAGCTAATTTAGAAGATATAGAATGGTAAATAAAATAGGTAATGGCATGTAAGATGAGCATGAATATAATTGAAGTCCATGTAGAGAGAGGTTTCTGGGGCCAAGTTACTTTCCTAAAAGATCTTTTATATTTTTGTGTTTTGTGTGTTTATGTATGTGGGAGAATTAATAAAACCTTGCAGGAATATAGAATGAGAATAATGGTAACCAAGTCAAAGAGAAATAGATGATAATTATAAATTGGATAAATATAGAGAAAAATAATAATAGTGAAATTGGATAAGAGTAAAGAGTAATAAAGAGAAATTGGATAAGAGATATTTGTATGCTCATATGGAAATGGTCTAAAATAAAATTATATTGTATAAAATAATGTTTTATTTGGCTTGTAAAATTTATAATGGAAAGAGGTTCATGTATTAATGGTTAATGATGGTTTGTTTGTCTTTAAAATTAATAAAATTTGTTTTAAAAAAAAGAAAAAGAAAGTCTCAACTGTTCCATTGGTTGATTGTTCTCACTGTCAGAAAGTTTCTCCTTGTTTCCAGGTTAAATCTCTGCTTGTTCAGTTTCCATCCATTATTCCTTGTCTGACCTATAGGAGCTTTAGAAAATAGCTTGACCCTTTCCTCCCTGTGGCAGCCCCTCAAATATTGGAAGACCGCTATCATGTCTCCCCTGGTCCAAAGGCCAAGCCCAGTTCCTGCAACCGTTCATTGTATGTTTTAGCCTCCAGTCCCCTAATCATCCTGGTTGCTCTTCTCTGTAATTTTTCTAGAATCTCAACATCTTTTTTATAGTGTGGTGAACAAAACTGGATGCAGTACTCTAGGTGTGGTCTTACTAAGGCTTTATAGAGTGGTATTAGTACTTCCCTTGATCTTGACTGTATCCCTCTGTTAATACAATTTAGGATTGCATTAGCTTTTTTGGCAGCTGCTGCACACTGCTTGCTCATATTTTGGTGGTTGTCCACTAAGACTCCAAGATCCCTCTCACAGTTACTGCTATTGAGCCTGGTTTCACCCAGTCTATATGTGTACTTTTGGTTTTTCTTGCCTAAGTGTAGGACTTTTCTCTACATTGAATTTCATTTTATTAGATATGGCCCAGTGTTCTAGTCTGTCAAGATCCATCTGGATCTTGAGCCTATCTTCTTGGGTGTTAGCTATTCCTGCCAGCTTCGTATCATCTGCAAATTTGGTAAGTTCCCCTTCTATTCCCTCATCTAAGTCGTTAATGAAGATATTGAAGAGTACTGGGCCTAAGACGGAACCTTGTGGCACCCCGCTGCTTACTTCCCTCCATGTAGACTTAGGCCCATTAAGGACTACTCGTTGAGTACCAGTTGTGAATCCATCTAGTGGCGGTGCTATCTATTCCACTTTTTTCTTGCTTACTAAGAAGTAGGTTGTGGTCTACTTTGTCGAATGCTTTGCTGAAATCTAAATATATTATGCCCGCAGTATTTTGCTGGTCTACTAATTTAGTCACTGTGTTGAAGAATGAAATAAGATTGGTTTGGCATGATCTGTTTTTAACAAACCCGTGCTGACTGCTAGTTATTACTTTACTTGTTTCTAGATGTTGGCAGATCTGTTTTTTTATTATCTTTTCCAGTATCTTCCCGGGTATTGATGTTAGGCTGATTGGTCTATAGCAGGGGTCAGGGAACTTTTTTACCTTTTACCCCCCAAAAAATTTATAAATGCCGACGTTACCCCCTTGATTTGAAAGGAAGGAAATCATACACTATTTGAATTCAAAATGTTATTGGATGTATTTAAAATTACTTTGAAAGCTTCAACTTACTTGAAAACTTCAGGTTTTGGAGAAATGATGTTGCTTCATCTTGGATACGAGATCATCAATATTGGGACATTTTGATGTCAGAGCAATATGGATACAGTCTTCCAGGTCCAATCGATTTCTTTTCTTTGTTTTTATGTTCGTAAGAGTGGAAAATCCTTGTTCGCAAAGGTAGGTTGTTGCAAAAGGCAGCAACTTTTTGAATGCTTCCTCATGTGCAATTTTGAAGGCCTTTGCAGGTGTTGACATCCAAAAATTTGACATATCTGCTTTGTTTTCAAATGTAATCTGTGCTTCATTATTGCATCGAAGCTCAAGAAGTGACTCTGCCAACCCTTGAGGCTCTTCTGGTACAACACAAATTTCACATTAAAGGGATCTACAATCCAACTGACAGCATGTGAATCAAGATCTGGAAAGTAATCAGAGAACCGCTCTTTGAGTTTGGTAAGATGCCTTATAACTGTATCCTTGATGTCTTCAAAAGTAATATTTTCACAATCTTCCAAGAACAAAGCTAACTTTGAAAAGGTAGCTATCTTTTTCTGTTCAACTTTTTGTCTCCAATATAAAAGCTTTGATCCAAATGCAGAAATCTTTTCTCTGGCTGAAATTATATTTATGTTTTTTCCTTGCAATTCTTTGTTCAATACATTAACATGCTCAAACATATCTGCTAAATATGCAAGATGTGCAACCCACAAGGGGTTTGTAAACTTCTCTGCAAGAACATGCTTTTGCTCAACCATAAAACTTTCAAGTTCAGTTTTGAGAGCCCACACTCGGTTCAGAACATTTCCATGTGAGAGCCACCTTACTTCTGTATGATAAAGTAGGTCTGTATATTCAGCATCACCAGCTTTACATAATTCACGAAATAATCGCGTGTTTAGTGCATGTCCTTTGACAACATTGACAATCTTGATAACATCATGCATGACGGCCTCTAATGTAGGTTCCAAATGTTTCACAAGCAGTGCCTGGCGATGGATAATACAGTGGTTTACTTCAACTTTTGGATTTCTCTCTCTCACAAAAGCCGCAAAACCATTAACATGACCCAACATAGTTGGAGCTCCATCAACAGACACAGCAAGGCAGTCTTCCCACTTTAAATTGACGTCATTAAAGTATTTATTAACTTTATTGAAGATATCAATTCCACGAGATCGCAAGTCGAGAGGAGAACAAAACAACAATTCCTCTTCAATTAAATGTAAACCTTTGTAGCGGACATATACCATCAGCTGAGAATTACTGCTAACATCCGTAGTCTCATCTAGCTGAATAGCAAAGTATTTACTCTCTTTTATTGAGGAAATAACTTGTTGCCTCACATTTTTTGCTAAAATAGAAACTCTTTCTTTAACAACTCTTGCAGACAAGGGCACAGAATTTAGTTTCTTGGCTTCATTCTGACCACACATAATCTCTGCCATTTTCAAAGCTGCTGGTTTAACCAAATCCTCACCAATAGTATAAGGTTTTTTGTTTCGGGCAATCAACCAGGCCACTTCAAAGCTAGCCTTGGATGCTGAACATTGATTGAATGTACCTCTAAAGTTGCTGTCCAATCTTTGTCTTTTGACAGACATTTCCAAATTGACAAAATATTCCCGTGGTTTTGAAGCCAGATGTGGGTGCAAATTATCCAAGTGTTTCTTCAATTGACTCTTTTTGAAAGATTCTGCAGTCAGTACTTTCAAACAAACAACACACTGTGGTTTCATTATTCCTTTGTCGTCAATTTGGGTAAACCCATAATCAAGGAATTCTTCCTGGTATATTCTTTTTCTAATTGATGTCATCTGAAGGGTGAAAAAGACATTGATTGGAAAAGTTGTAACCCTGACTGCCAGGCTGTGTACCGAATTAGCAGGGTATATCATCAGTATCAATGGCTG